GCAAATGCCTTGGACAGGCTCTACAGTATTGTGTATTTAGGCCCAAAAAATAGACATTTAATAATTCTTTTTATGAAATAGAGCCCAATTTATTGAATATTTCGTTTAATAGCTAGGTGAAACTCGACGATGGAAAGTGAAATTTGAAGAAATAAATAAAAATAGAAAAAAATGGCAAAATCCAAAATATGGAAACTAAATTGCAACAATAGTTGATTCGAACCACATAATGAAGATTGGAGACGTTCAGGGTTCAAGTGGATGAAATTAGAGGATAAATGAGCGAAATTACAAGAGAAAATGACTGAAAAAAAAAAAAATCAAGAATTGAATTCAGGAACCAAAATGCAAAATTTGAAAACTTGTATAACTGGGCTACTGCCCAGTCGCCCAACTTGACAGTTCAAAAACTATGGCTAAAAATCATGCTTGGGTGAGTGCCCAATTTCCTACTAGGCGACTGCCCAAGCCAAATCTAGCAAAATCGTGCAGTTTCCCTTTTCTTCCAAAATTCTACATGGACACCACTTTCTTGCACGATTTTTTATTTAATTTCACCTCTATAAATACTATGGAACTCTCATATATACATCTCATGCACCAAAGTTCATGAATGAATATCATCAAAGAGATGTCAATCCATTATTCTTGTGAGAATTAAAGGGCAATAAATTTTTTAAAGAAATTGGAGTTTCAACCTCGACATTTAACACGTGTTTATTCTTTGATGAATGTTATAGGATTTAGCCCATGTTTGGTACACATTCTTTCCAAATACATTTTTTTCAAAACTCATTTTCAACCACACATTCTTCAACAAAATAATATTTTCCATCACATCAATAATTTTTATTTACTTTTTAACCATATGTTTTCCATCATATCACTATTTAAAATACATTATTTCCTCAATAATATCAATCAAACACACACTTAATAACTTTTCAATTACTTGATCGCTAATTGAATTAATTTTGAATTTTATTGATTTTGAGAGAAACAATAGGATATATAACACTTTATAACAATTATTGTAAAGTCCAATATGAGATAAAAATATATCGTTATACTTTGCATAAAATCTATAGATGTTCTAGTGTTTTTATCGCATGCTTTCATGTTTATATCTTTCATAGAGATATAAAAATGTCACATAAAATGATAGATTTAATTGACATCGAGAGATGCTTTTAACTAACTTAAGTACATTGATGAACAAAAATGAGCACATATTGTCATGTTACTGATTTGAATTAAAAGTTATTAATAAGGGGATTCAAGGTCTTAGTCGTATCACACCTAAATTTACAAAAACTTCATAAATTGATCACTATAATAATTAGTTTAATTAGATAATTTAGTATAAAATCATTCAAACACAATTTGCTATTCGATTAAGGTTAGGATTAATTAAGTCTAATTTAAGTACATAGCTCTCGTGGGAACTGTTGGGAATTAACTGACTAATGCAAACATTAATAAACAATAAACAAGCTCCAGAACATTAACAGAGTTCACCACATGCTCCAACACATAGCATAAACAATTTCTAGCAGCTCATTAACCAATGCCAGATCTAATAATCAACCCCATAAATCAAAATTCAACAGCCTAAACTACCCC